GCAGGCGCTTTTGCCGCTGAGCTAAATCCCCAGCCCCATAATCACATCTTGACATGCGTATTTAGAAAGGTAAAGCATCTGCGGTACTTAAAAGGAAGCTCACTTACATCCATAATGGTTACGGGGATGTCCCGTATTTTATGAGGTTCCACATAAGAATTCTGACAATTCAGGGTCAGTCTTGAAGCCAGTTCACTCTGACCCAGACTTTCCAGCTGAAAAAAAGGAATGCAGGTTAAGATTTTTTAAATAATTTTTTTTATGTTTCTATTACATCCATAGATAACGTTTGGCTTATAAAACTGCTGTCGGATACGGTGGGGCCAGAAAAGTGACAAATGAAACAGAGTATTTGAAAGACTGAACTGGGCCTCTCAGCCTTTTTCTAGTTCTGGAACCTCAATCTAACCTGCCTGCTTCAACCCAGCTGTTGTCTGCAGCCAGCCAATTCGTGCACCTCAGAGCTTAGAGTGTGAAAAACCCTCAGCCGTCATCTGCCCTTAGCTCCTAAATAGAAGCTCTGAGTCGGCAGATGTATCTGAGAGGAAGAGGAGGGGGTGATGTAAAAGTACACATTCCCAGGCCCCAGGCCCCAGGCCCAAGCATTCCAGATGTGCTGTCAGGTCTGAGGCCTTGGGATCTGTTTTTTGAGATGAGGTCTGTCCTCCAAGTTGCTCAGGCTGGCCTTAAATTCAGAATCTTCTTGCTCCATGGCACAGCGGCATATGCCTATAATCCTAGCACTCGGGATGCTGAGGCAGGAGGATTACCATGAATCTGAGGGTAGCCTGTGATATATGAGAGCTTAAGGCCAGCCTGAACTATATAACATGACCCTGTCTCAAAAAAAACCCAGGATCGTCCTGCTTCAGCCTCCCTAGTAACCTGGCGTTCTAGCTTTTTGAAATGTACAGTACATTATTATCTATAGTCACCCTGAAATCTGTTTTCATTTTGCAGTACTGGGGACTGAACGGAGGGCCTTTGCACTGAGCTCCATCACTGGCCCTTTTTTCTTTTGCGATAGGGCTCCAACTTGTGATCCTCCTGCCTCAGCCTCAGAGTGCTGGGACTGCAGGTATGTGTCACCACACCCAGTTTGAAATCTGTATTTTTGAAGGCCTCCTATGTGACTTTGACAAACAGCTGCTGGGAAGCACTCATGCAGACAAAGCCTGACCAGCAGCAGCATCTGTTTGGAAGTACTGAAGTGAAGACTGCAGACACTCACTGAGAAGCTGCAGCTTCAGGAACCTTCAGCAGCTGCGAGCATCCCCAGTACCAGGTGTCCCCAGTACCAGGTGTCCCCAGCCCAGCGCCACAGTCCTTACCCTGTCCACCATGAAGTCAATGGCATCGGCCATCATAGGGTCCACTGGGCCAGATGAAAAGTTTCCAAGAACTATTTTTTTAAGCATAAATGCAGGCATCAGCCAAAAGCTGTAAAGAAAAGACGAAGTTTCAGTAATTTGAACTTGCCAAGTGTATCCATACATGGCAAACATTCATTCAACACTGGGGCCTTGTAAACGCTGTCTTGGAATCCAACTACAAACAGACCTCCTTTCAAAAAGCTCAGCATCTCTTTTCTACATATACTTTCCCAAGCTCTCAAAAGAATTAAGAGCTGGGTGTGGTGGCGCATGCCTGTGATCCCAGCACTGAGTGCAGTGAGTTCGAGGCCAACCAAGGCTACATAGTGAGTTCGAGGCCAGCCTGAACTGCATAGCAAGGCCCTATCTCAAAAAACAAACAGGGCCAGGGACATAGCTCAGCGGCACAAGTGCCTGCCTGGCAAGCGCAAGGTCCTGAGTTCGATTCCCAGTACCAAAAAAACAAACAAACAAACAAGAGAGATTAACTATGAATGATATTTCAAAATGCCTTCAAATGAGACAGACATTAAGATGATTCTTATTTTCCTAATTGGCCATCTTTCCAATGATTAAACTAGTTCCTCTGGAAAACTGAGCACTAATAGTCTTTCCTTCCAGTTGATAACCTTTCAATCAACTGATATTTCAAAATACATTTCAAAATAGCAAAATGGAAGTTACTGTACCTCCCCAAATTTGCTATTATATTCATCCAGGCTCCCTCAGGGCAATCTGGTCGTTACAGGTTCCTATATGTGATCATTAATTGACACTTCTGTTGTGAATTACAAATGCTGACCAGCATCGCGGAGGGCATAGACTAATTTCTCAAAATCTCTGCTAATAACAGGCTGTGCACCTTCTCACGCACACCGGCTGTAGTAAGGTATTGGTGGAAGTTGAGCTTCCCTCAAAAGGGCGATGTGGTCCTCTTCTACTTCACTTTCTAAGCTCTCTCTTACCCCTACTGCTTTCTCACCACTTTCTCTTGCTGTAGGGCTGGGGATGGAGCCTAGAGCCCCCTGCATGCTAGCTAAGGGTCCTGCAGCTCAGCCGCTCCCTAGGCCCCTTCTCTCTTAAAGGTGATGGTGGCTACGTTCACTGTCAGCTCTGCTCAGCTCCGTACCCTTCGTGTGGCACACACAAAGTACTCAGATATTTAATAAAAAGCAGCTGGGTCGTTCCCCGGAAGGAGGGCTTCCGGTGCACAGGGAGCCACGGGTGGGGAGCGCCAGTCTTCCAGCTGGCTAGCTTCCTGCCTGGTGGCTCCCGGAGG